CCTTCCTTCCTTCCTTCCTTCCTTCCTTCCTTCCTTCCTTCCTTCCTCCCTCCCTCCCTCCCTCCCTCCCTCCTTTCGTTCCTTTCCTCCCTCCCTCCCTGCTGATGATCCCTAGTTGGGTCATGAAACGTCTGCAACGAAACAACCACGAGCACCAAGCACACCAGAAGCCATTCTCACTGGGGGAGGGGGCCAAAAATTTCTCCCTCCGGGTCCCTAATTTTCTCCTTTTTTTTCCTCTTCTCTCTCTCCCCCCAGGAATTTCTTCCGTGGCAACGTCTTCCCCCCTCGGACCTCTAGCCGGCTCGCCCGTGATTGCCGCTGCCAACCCGCTGGGAATGCCAGTACCTGCTGCCGCAGGGGCTCAGCAATAAAGGACCCCCAAACCCCCACCCCACCTCCCAGACGCCGGACTGGAGCCACCCAAGCGCTGAGGGTCCTCCTCCACTCACACCCTCCACCCTCCACAGCCTCTTGTAGCCAATGTGGGGAAGGGGGGAGGAAGGAAAGAGAGACAGGAGGAGCCATGTTGGAACTGTTGCTTGTGGATCGATTGTCGTTCTGTCACATCATCCATATGTATCTCTCTCTCTCTCTCCCCCCACCCCCCGGATATATATATATATATATACACATACATACATACATAGATACATACATACATACATATATATGGTATTCGGCTTTGTTTGGGTATTTTCCCACGTCATTGTAGTTGTGCTTTTAAAGTTGTAGCAACATTTCGGCAGAATCTCATCTGCCATCATCAGGCTTCTGTATTGTGTTCGTCTGTGAGTCAGATTTTACAAATTTAAAACTGAAACAACTGTAAAAGTCTGACTCACAGACAAACACAATACAGAAGCCTGATGATGGCAGATGAGATTCTGCCGAAACGCTGCTACAACTTTAAAAGCACAACTACAACGACGTGGGAAAATACCCGAACAAAGCCGAATACCATATATGTAAGTACCCGTGAAAACTTAAGAAAACATATATGTATGTATGTATGTATGTAAGTATGTATATATATATATATATACACTGATGGATCTTCTTACGCCGAATTCCCCTCGTCCCTCCCCAGGCCTGCCTTTTTTTTTTACTTGAACTTTTTGTAATTCAGAGGAAAACCCCTGGCAAAAAATATATACATACATACATACACACACATGTTTTCTTAAGTTTTCGTGGGTACTTACATGTATGGTATTCAGCTTTGTTCGGGTATTTTCCTGCGTCATTATAGTTGTGCTTTTAAAGTTGTAGCAACGTTTCCGCAGAATCTCATTTGCCATCATCAGGCTTCTGTACTGTGTTCGTCTGTGAGTCAGATTTTACAAATTTAAAACTGAAACAACTGTAAAAGTCTGACTCACAGACGAACACAATACAGAAGCCGTGATGATGGCAGACGAGATTCTGCCGAAACGTTGCTACAACTTTAAAAGCACAACTATAATGACGTGGGAAAATACCCGAACAAAGTTGAATACCATATATATATATATATATTTCACAGACCCGTTCCTCGTCTGTTCCTGCTCTCCCCTTTTCCCAGGTCCTCCTTGAAGACTCTCCCAAACTGAGGACGCCGGTTCTTCCTCACCTCGGTTTCTCTCGTCCTTACGACGCGCCGATGCCTCTTCTCTCTCTCCCGCCCCCGCTTTGCGGGGGAATATAATATCTTCCCATCGCCTGCCCACACCTCTGTGGAATCCCAGCCTTGGAAAGCCGGCAAGATTTGGAGGACAAGGGACATCTTGGGAAGCCACGTCGCCGTGGTCTGCGGCGGCTCGGAACGGATGGTTTGCCGAAAAAAAGAGGACAGCGCGCTCCGTTATCCTATGCGATGGTCTTCTCGACATCTTAATCCAAAGCCTCCAGGCCTCGCCGTCTGATCCATGCCACCCCTCCAAAGTTAGCATCCGGCTCCACCGTCAAGCTCTACCCCGTTACGTTCTTCTGGGATTCTGGAAAAAAAAAATATCCCAACTTTTCACCTGTTTTTCCTGGAGAAATCCATTTTTTTTTTCACCTGTTTTTTGTTTTGTTTTTTCCTGGAGAAATCCATTTTTTTTCTCCTTTTTTTTTTTCCTGGAGAAATCAAATTTTTCCTTTCCTTTCCCTTCTCGAACTTCTAACAGGTTAGATCGTGGGAAGAAAAAGAAAATGAAAAAAACCCCCAAACGGATCTAGGGGTTTGCTTGCTTGCCCCGTCTGCCCTCCCGTATATCTTTTTTCTCTCCACGTGCCATGTCGCGGCAGGGGTGTTGCGTACACGTGCGTGTTACTTAGAGGGACTTGGCGGAAAGTTGCAAGCCGGCTGTGATTTTCGAGAAAACAGAACGGCCTGTGAAAAACAATGCAAAAAAAACAACAACCCAAGGCCAGCTTGTAAGAGCCTCCTGGTGAAGGATGGTATCCACTCCCTGTGTGACTGTGTGTCTGTCTACTACGATTACTACTACACACATACACACCCACGTGCACACCCCAGAAATGCAGAGGCCTCTGTAGGTAAATCGGTCTCGCTCTTCTTTATGCTGAAATAACCTTACGTGGGAATTCCCGGCTGTAAATAAAAACTTATTAATTTTTTTTTTTTTTTAATTTATCAAAGGTTAGGTTTAACGTCGCCTGCGCGGAGTCTCTTCCCCCGGGTCAGTATCAAAACGTTTTACATGACGCGCAGCCTCTTAACCCCCGAATTGGGGCTTCGGACCAGGAGGCTGGGATCTGGGTGTGTATGTGTTCGGTGTGTGTGTGTGTGTGTGTGTGTGTGTGTTTTCGGCACCTTGCCAGGAATTCGGTGGCCGCCACGACCCAGTGCTCGGAAGCCTTACAAGAAGCGTGCTCACAAGCCAAAATGTCGTTCGGGGTTTGAGGGTGCCTGCGTTTTCCTCTCGCTGAGCTGGGACGTCAAGGGGGCGGCTGCCACCGCCGCGAAGGACAAGATGGAAGCTCCTCTTTCCGAACCACCGCAGTCTGTAGCTCGCTGTTTTGGAGGAGCCTTGGTAACCCCATCTCCGATCCTCCGTGAAAAATCTCCATCGGCAACATTGCTACGCGTGGCCTGCTAACCGTCTTGGGGAGGCCTCGAGTTCTATAAATATATGCAACTTTCTGGAAACTTGGGAATGGGGCGGGGGGGCACGTATTGCGTTCGTCGGGGACGGGATGGGTGCTGGAGCAGGAAGCAATAGCACGGGACTTGGCAGATGAGGAAGGACTTCCGGATGTCTGACGGCAGGAAATTTCCCATGGTGGCGCCTGCGGGAAATAGGTGTGCCTAGATTTTGCACGAGGACAGCTCCCTTCTGGAGGGTTCTGGAGCCGGGGATCGACTCAACCCTTTGCTTTCTTTTGATCCTTGAATTTGGCAAGCAAGGCGAAAGGAGGGACTCATCGCATGCTTTCCAGAGGGTGCCGGGTGCGAGGTGACGAGGATTTAAGGGGTTGGGAGGGGGGAGTCACCAAGGGGAGCAGTATCCATCCAAGCTAACCCAAGATGGAAATATTGAGGTTGAGTTGATGTAAACCAGTGTTTTCTCGACGCCTGCCCCTTTAAGATGTGTGGACTTCAACTCCCAGGATTTCCCGGGAGTCAGGGAATTCTGGGAGTTGAAGTCCACGCACCTTAAAGGGGCAGGCGTCGAGAAAACACGGATCTCAACTTTCTTCCCGGTGCTTATCCTGGCCTTGTAGCCCAAAAACCTGCAGATTGTAACAACGTCTGTGTTGTAAATTACCTCATCTGTATACGTCGTATCAGAACACTTTTTAAATTACTCAGCACTTCCTGGGGAGATATATCTATGTATATATCTATATACATATATATATATATTCTCATTTTTCTCGGGAAAGGGGATGCTGGCATTGTGCGTGTTGGCAGGAAAAGAAAAGGAAATGAAACGCCAGTATAAATAGCCCTATTTGCAAATTTGATTTTTTTTTAAAGAAAGACCTTGTTTGAAGTGATCTTTTTTTATTATTTTGTTGAAATTTAGATTGGTTCTCTCTCTCTCTCTCTTTCTCTCTGGATTTACCTGAATGGAATTGTAGTGTCACTATTGAAAACTAACCTTTAATTGTGCTGAGAAGTTTGTGCCATGGAGGTCTTTAATTTTTTTAAAAATAAAATCATTGAAACAAAAAGTCTGGTGAATTCTTACTCCTAAAAAAAAGAAAAAAGATGTGGGATAGATTTTAACTCCTAGGACAGAAAAGCTGGTTTTAGACCAGGAGTCTCCAACCTTGGCAACTTTAAGCCTGCAGAACTTCAACTCCCAGAATTCCCCAGCTGTTTTAGCCGCCTTTCCTTGTGGATTGCTGAGTCCTTGACTTAATAATTTGGTTAGTGACCGTTCAAAGTTACAACGGCACTGAAAAAAGTGACTTGACTGTTTTTGCAGCATCCCCGTGATCACCTGATCAAAATTCAGATCCTGAGCAAATGACTCCTATTTATGACTGTTGCGGTGTCACGTTTTCCCCCTTCTAACAAAGCAATGGGGAAGACTGATTCGCTTAAAAACCAGGTGGCTAAACTTATCAATCTGCAGGGATTCGCTTAACAACAGTGGCAAGAATGGTTGTAAAATGGGACGTAATCAAATGTCTCACTAGGAAATGTTGGGCTCCATTGTGGTCATAAATGGAGCACTACTTGTATATTTCCTGCGTTTTATAATGCACTTTTCTGCCCCTTCGGAGCCAAGGAAGACCTCAAATTGTTTGATGTTTGCCCATGAAACTTTCATTGGTGGAAATTCAAACTATAGTCCATCAAGAGCCGAAACGTGCTTTGAAAATATATTGGGAATGTGCAGAAATGAATAGATTAACATTTGCAATTAAAGGGAAGGAGCAAACTGAATATTATAAAATATGGGAATTATTTTATCGATGGCTGGAGGAAAAAAATATGAAAGCTAGAAATAGCCAATATAGAAAATAGCTTTATAGAATTAAACTTAAGAAGGGGAGTGTTCTAGAGATATATATTAATAAGATAAAAATAGATAATGAATACCAAAGTAGTAGAACAGGGATGTCAATTTTAATTGCTATTGCACCAGATGATTGTACCCAGACGACACACCGTTAAATGGAAGATGAATTGTATGCAATTTAAAATATTTTTTAGAAAAGACCATAGAGATACTATAGAGAAGAGCCGCGTACATCTCATGATGAATCCTGGCTAATATTGAGGCTAAGGAGCCCCTTCCACAGAGAAGAGTCGGGAAACCGATGGCTTGCCTTTAACAAAGATGGCGTCGGAGGCATTTCCGGCCGCTTCCCTTTCTTCGGCCATGTGAGAAAGCGCAGTGATTTGCCGTAGGAGGAAATGACGTCACAACGGTTTCCGGTTCTGAGCGGAGGAGAGCGCGTGGCCGGGCGAGCGGCATGGCGCCTGAGGGAGATGAAGAGCCTGGCGGAGGCGAGACGGCGGGAGGCTTTCAAAGCGGCTTTGGCGGCGGGGACAGGCTGAGGGAGGCCCAGTAAGCGCGGGGATAGGGCAGGGCCGCCGGCTGGGTTGAGGAGGACTTCATCCCGCAGAGTTCGTCGCCAGGCTCCAGGTAAAATGAGGAGCCAGAGGGTTGGGGACTCTCTCTCTCTCTCCCCCTCCCTCCCTCCCTCCCTCCCTCGCCCCCCCCTCTCTCTCTCCATCTCTTCTATCTATCCTCCATAGCTATCTATCTCCCTACCCCCCTGTCTCTCTATCTCCCTACCCCCATCTCCCTATCTATCTATCTATCTATCTATCTATCTATCTATCTATCTATCTATCTATCTATCTATCTATCCATCCATCCATCCATCCATCCATCCATCCATCCATCCATCCATCCATCCATCTCCCTACCCCACTCTCTTTATCCCTATCTGTCTATCTCCCTACCCCCCCCCCCCC